GTTCACAAGACTCAGGATAACAAGAACTGTCAGATATTAAATCATATTTTTACTTTGAAGACATTCAGTATATTACAGCTCAGTAAATTTCTATGCTGTTCTAATCAAGAAATATTTGCTACAGTGTTTATTACACAGTCAAAAACCAAGTTTGATTTATGTTCTGAAATGTTCAGGGAACAAGATGTTGGGTGCTCGATCCCAGCTCTAGCAATGACTCCAATGAACTGTGGGATTTGGGGCCTCCATCACTACATCTTCTTGAATCTCAATTTTCTTGCCTGTGAAATAAGGGAATTTATATTACATCATCTTAATGTATTTTTATGAAGCTGTTTTAAGATTTTGTATGAATTATTTCTTGCATTTGTTGCTTGGAAGAAAAAGAGAGGCTTCTTTATGTTTTCTGTATCAAGTTAATGCTCAGATGAGGATACATATCTATTTTTATTTAGAAATATGTTTCAAGAAAATATGAACCATTATATTAACTTTACATTCAATTTTTATTTTAATCAACATTTCAAGGCTATCTGAAATGAAGACGTGGAAATTCATACTATTTTAAACTTTCTTAAGCTATTATTCTTATCAGCATTCATATTTTGAAGAATAAAAGCTTATTAAAATATGTCTTTGCCAGGTACATTTGTAAAGAAAACTTTTTCAGGCTTTTATTAACCTGAACAAAGCTCACTAAACAAGAACAGGATGTAAGAAGGCAATGTCTAGAACAAGAATACTCTGAGAATTTGTATTAAAACTTTTGCTACTTTATTTGGTCACATAAAAAATGTGACATTAGGCTTGCCAGTTAGCTCAGTTGGTTAGAGCATGGTGCTGATAACAGCAAGGTCCAGGGTTTGTTCCCTGTACTGATCACAAACAAACAAACAAACAAACAAACAAAAAACCAAAACTGTGGCATTAATATTCCATGACTGGGCTATGATTTTTGTCTTAGGTTATAGTTCTGGTCTGTCCTAGCATTTAAAAGCCAAATTCAATAAAAGTGTGAGATAATATTAGATCAAGCATCTCTGTTTTTAACTTTTCCTTTTAACTTTTTGGTGTTCTTATTCCCTTAAAATCAGCCCAGGACTGTTTCTTGACCTCATCTAGTGTTTATCATGTCACCAGACCATTTTCCCTGGGTTGTTACATATTGGCTGTAGTGTTTTCAAATATTTTGCATAACTAACTACGTAATGATTATTACCTTGCTGAAGTGCCATATAAGTGCTAAGCACAATTATTCTTGTTATAATATAGTTGGTGTTGGTAAGTTTCCTCTTTTTGTTTTTGATGCTGTTGTTTATATCCTATGAAAATGTTTCTACATCACTAAAGAACCACAAATTTTTGTATTCAGTTGGATTCTCTCTATACTCTTAGGGATTGCTGCATTCACTGTCATCACCTATCACTTGGAAGGACATTTCCAAAATTTACCCCCAGCTTCATTCTCAGGCAGCTGACTTGTATTACCTGAACCTCAGATGTAGTGTGTCCTTTGTGAATTTATTACCTTCTGTTCCAATATTCTGTCAGCTTCTGATAACTAGTGGCACCACTATTCTTTTATTTTTTTTTAGGCTAGGGATCAATAAACTATGCCCCCTGGGCCAAATCTGGCCTGCTGCCTGTTTTGTAAATAAAGTTTATTGGAACACAGACACATCCATTCGTTTAAGTATTGTCTATGGATGTTTTTGCACTAAGATGGCAGAGTTAAATAGTTGCAGCAGAGATCTGTGACCAGCAAAGTCTAAAGTATTTACTGTTTGGCCCTTCACAGGAAAACTTTGCTGACCCCTGCCTTAGACTGAAAACTCTGGCATTATTGGGAAGATGCAAAATTAATTTTTTAGTAGCTTGTTTTGCCTTTTAAACAGAACCTGCTTATTGTATCAGCTTTACTGATAATCAACTGCTGTGCACTCCTGCTTCTGTAAACTGTGCTTGCTTATCACAGTAGCTACATGAATGCTGAGAAAAGCAAAACTTAAGGGCCGGCCCGGTGGCGCACTGGAGAGTGCGCCGCTTGGGAGCGCGACGGCGCTCCTGCTGAGGGTTCGGATCCCATGTGGAGACCGGTTCCCGCTCACTGGCTGAGCGCGGTGCGGGTGCAACACTGAGGGTTGCAATCCCGTTGCCGGTCCCCGGTACGGGCGCGACACCGAGGGTTGCGATCCCGTTACCGGTCAGTAAAAAAGACAAAAAGGAAAAAAAAAAAAAAACCCAGAAGAGTCTGCCTATATAAACCCTGTAAGACCTAGACTCAGGGCTCAGATTTTGGAGCACTAGCTCATATGGGCCCGCAGGTGTAATAAAATACCTGATTCTCCAACCCTCTGAGTGCCGACTGTTTCTTTGTCTAATCTGTTCCATAACAGCATCACCTGTGATTCCTCCTATGGGATTCACCAAGTATATTCCTGCAAGAGAACTAATCATTTCTTTAATCATCTTTTTCTTTCTATTTTTTTTTTAATCTTTCACACATTCTGGTTCTCACATCCTTTTGCCTAGGGCATTAAATTTCCCCACCTCTCAGTTTTATTCCCTTGTATTTCATTTTATACTATGTCACAAGTATTGTGTTCTCAAAGTTTGGCTCCACTCTGCCACCAAAACTTAAGAGATTTCCCCATTACCCAGTAAATTAGAGAATTTCCAGCATCTTCCTTAAGTCTCCTTCTACAATATAAACCCTGTTGTTTTCCTGTATATTCTTTATGTAATGAAATTATTTCCACCTTTTTTGTCTGTGTCCAAGCTGTAACAACTGCCTAGAGCTTTCTCTGCCTCCATTTTTATCCTCTCCTATTCCTGTCTGCTGATAAAATCCTCCCAAATTTCTTAGTGAAGATTTTCCCTATCTCTGTCTGCATGTTCTTTTTCCCTTCATGGTATGTTACCTGTACATCTCTCTGTCACAAAGGACATTTTACTTGATGCCGTGTTCTTTTTGTTCTTTTACATCTCAAACTTTATGAACTGTAAGCTTGTTGGATGCAAGGTTCATGTCTTTCTCATTACAGTGTGCCCTTAAACACTTACCATAATGTCTTAAATGTGCTTAATAAGTAAGTGAATTGCATGATAGGAAGCAGGCTTTTTAATTTGAAGTAAATTATTAGTGATCTCAGAGTTTCTCTTGAATGTTTAGCAGTAGTTCTAGGTGTTATAGCTAAAGTTCTTGAAGAAACTAGATGTTAACTTCTTTGTATAGATTGTTAATGAAAATGGAAGGATTTTTTTTTTTTTTCTGATGTTTCACATTTACTGCAAAAGAAGTAATTGTGTGCAGTGATGTGTTTGGTACTGATAGAAAAGTAAAACCAGGTGGCAGAGCCAGGCAGTAATTCCCTTGGATGTGTTACACAATGTCAGATTTTTATTTTGTTAACAAGTTTTTTTTAGAATTCCAAGTAGAAAAATTATGTCAAAGTACTCTAAGAAGTTATTGAAATGAAACACAGGTGCTGTTAACATAGTATTTTGTACTCTGCTTATTCATTCATTTAATTATTCTCTATGTACTTCCCAGAAGATTTTGATGTGGCTATTTATCACCAAGAGGTAGTCCTATTAATCCCAGTTTTTTATTGGCTTCAGTTCTGAATTCGTACTCTTGAAAATGTTGACAAAGACAAAAAAGTGTGCCAGGTGTAGAGACTTTTCACTTCTTTTATAAAATTTTTTAAATTTATTATTATTATTATTATTATTATTATTATTATTTATTTATTATTATTTTTTTTTGTCCTTTTTGTGACCGGTAAGGGGATTGCAACCCTTGGTGTGGTGTCACCTGCACCGCACTCAGCCAGTGAGCGCACCGGCCAGTCCTATATAGGATCTGAACCCGCGGCCGGAGCGTCGCTGCGCTCCCAGCGCCGCACTCTCCCGAGTTGGTTTCAGAAAACTAGTGATTGGTAGGGGGGCCATGGACCCCGTTTGGTGCCTAAAATGTAGTACCTGAGAATTCAGCAGTAAAAGTAAACAAAGCATTAAAACACCCTAAAATCCATACACCTGAAAAAGAATTGAAGACTTGAAAATTTAATTTTAAAATGGGCAAAGGATATGAATAGTTTCTAGGGAAATATAAAACGCTGCTTTTTTTTTCACTGTCTTCTAGCACAAAATCAGTGCTTGCTGTGTACATGCGTGCCTGAACAAATGAATAATGTCCAAATAAAAATATACTCCAACTCCCTCCTGAGTAAAGAAATGCTTAAAATAACCATAAATGTAGACCTTTGAACTAGCATTTCTACTTAGAATTTATGCTAAGGAAATAGTTATACAACCGAGTATAGATTTCACATTTATGTTTTTATAACCCAGAAATACCTTCTCAAGTATTCAGATATATATTGTATGTATATATGTATAAAACACAAGTCTGTTTATATATACATGCTTACATGTGAGGTATGGTCTGTAGTCTGGAAGTAAGCATAAACAATCAGTAACTGTAGGTTGTCTCTTGGAAGTAGGACTAGGGAGATGTGGGAATTCTCAGGATATATGGGGTATTATACCTTCTGATTATTCTGTATGAATTTTTTTAAAGTATATTTTGCTTTTATATTGGGCAAAAGACTAGGAAATAATATGTTTTAGGCATATTTTCATTAATATTTAAAATAAGTAACTTATTTGAAGGGTTCGCGTATCTGTCTGGAAAATGTGGTTTTCAAGAATGATTCATATCCTTGAGAATACAGTATAGGTGATTTTTTGGTTTTATAATGAGATGATAATGAAAACATTATCAGATTGGACTGTTGTGTCCTTTAATATTATGATAAATAGACATTTAGTACAGGGGTCTTATTATAATGTGTTTTCTTTATACAGTTGTAAGAAAATCTTGTTTCATGCTAGATGGATGTATTATTATTTGGAGAACTTACATGCACTAACAACAGTTTCCAAGGGTGTCCTTGTGAGCAAAATAATTCACACTTTTCTCTTCAATTTTCTAGAAAAGCTCAAGAGGAGAACAAGAAAGTAGTGCTAGCTGGATGTGTTCCTCAAGCTCAGCCTCACCAGGACTATCTTAAAGGATTGAGTATCATCGGGGTAAGTTTGTACCTGATGGAAAATCTTGTTTTGTTAAAACATAAAATAGGCCCCACATTTTACTTTTTACCTCTTGGTTGTTTATAAGCTATAAGCTACATTACACTTACGGTGTCCTAGACATACTTTCCTTTTGCCCCTAAACCTTTGCTATGTCTGTGTAATTTTATCATCTTAGCAGAAAAACATGTTCTATGTTCTTTCATTAAGAAAGCGTAACACAATAAAAGCTATAGTATACAATTTATATCCCATAAAAACCTGTCTTTGTCCATCACCATCTCTTTCTATATTGTTACATTTTTCTCACCCCACTGAACTACTTGTCATCCCCAAGTACATAAATGCCATTTTTGGAATGCCCCATCTCCCTTATACTCACCCCCAAGTCTCAGCTCCAATACCACACACTCTGTAAAGCCTTTTCTGACCACTCTGCATCTTCCTCCGTAATCCTGTCTCTGGGTTCCCTTTCTTACTGTATAGTACCTGTCATTTGCTTTCTCAGTAAAGTGTTGTGATTTTAGGTTTATTTATGTGATTCTTTGAATAATCTCCACTTATGTATTTTAAATTATTAACTTCATGAGGACAATTTTTCATTTTTTAAAGCTCTCACCATGTTTCTCCAGCCTTTCCTGCAATGTCTGACGTACAGTAGGCACTGTTTGTTGACTGACTGAAAGAATCTCCCAATTGTTTTTTTATCATTGGCTTGCTTTTCTCCCGATTGGGCAGGCAGCTCTGTGAAGTCAGGAGACTGCCATCTATTTTCTCTCATTCTTTGTAGCCATCACTATCACAAAATGCGCTAATGTAGTTGACTCTCAGTATTTGTCGACCAAATGGTTGGTTCTTCCTTCTCAACATTCTACTGATGCTGTACTTGATAAGCTTACTGATGATCTTCTTTTAAGAAGGCTTTAATAATTTTTTTAAAATATTGTATATTCTTAGAAAGAGCTTATGTGAATAATTGGCATCTCAATTGAGTTTTATAGTGGATTTTTTCCTTATTTGATATACTATTGACAGGTTTTTATGTTGTGTTCTCAGTGTAATGAAGTTGTTTTCTGCTGTCATGTCCTTACCCCACTAGCAAATTTAGTAATCTTTGAACAAACATTCTCACTGTAAAAAAACAGTACCTGAATGTTTGGTAACTTTAGTTTGTTTTCACCACTTGTTTACATTTTGCTTTCTCTTGGTTTAAGGAATGAAATGAATATAGGACTCCTGAATTATCTTTTCATGTCAGACTAACTTTCTCTATAAATACAGTCCTGCTGTGTTAGGGAAATAGGAAAGCAGTTAGAACTGTGTTTTAGAGATGGAATGTGATAAAAGCTTAGAGATCATCTTAGATTTCATTCCAGGTAATTAAGTTACCAGAATAGCCCAATTTCTTTAGTATGGACAAAAGCCGCTTCTCTACTCACATTATGGTAACATTTTTCTGAACTCTGTTGTGTGCAAGGAAAAGCTTAGTGTTTCTTAGGATGTAGGGGAGATTCTCAAGATATAGTATAAGGTGCTATTTATGTGGAAGACAGTTTTCAGGGCTGATACAAAGCTGTGACACTGGCAAATAAACATTTCTTTTTCTGTTTAATCTAGCACCCTTTTTGTTATGTAGTCCCATTTCATTACCATTAACATTCTTTAGATTTATTTATTTTGCTCATTTATAATTGGAGAAATAAGAACCCGTTTTGAAAAGTGAATAGAAAGAAAATTCATACTTCTGTCACCATAACATAATTATTATAACTTTGATTATCCCCTTCAGACTTTTATCTCTGCATCTTTTACTTAATTGTAATCTCAAAACTGTTTCTATCCTTATTTTTCTGTTGTTTTGTGAGCTTTTTTCACCATTTTAAATCCTGCATTAATGTTCTATTGAAGGATATGCCATAATTTAACTATTTCTTAGTTGTTGGATGTATTTTCTAATTCTTAGGAAATACACATAATACATTAATGTTTAGAGTGGGCTTCTTATTTTAATTTAAAATTAATATATTGTGAAAAGTTTCCAAAAGTGGAATCACGCTATCATTAACATTTCATAGTTGTAATTTAATTATTTGTTTGCCAGCATTAAGTATTATTAAAGTATAAGATTTTGTCAACATCATTTTGTAGAGCATTTTTTCTGTGGCAGCTATATAATTTATTTATCATTTCTGACTTTTTATATATGAAAATTATGTCCACGGAATTGATATTTAAAAAAATTAGATTGAGAAACCAAAAATTATCTACAGTTTGATGTTTAGAGAGACCTATTTCTGAGTAGAATTGTTACAAAATCAGAAACCTTCTGAATTATAGTGAGTTACAATGAAAAAAAGAATGAATATTATTTTATACCAAAAAAACCATTTCTGAAGAAATAGAAAGATGTTTAAATTTGGTGACTTGGGAAACTAGTTTTAGCAGGACACTTAGAATTTTATTGCACAATTGATTTACAGACTGAGTAAAGAATGTGTTCCCTTGCGAAGTTTTTATGATGGAGGGTGTTAATAGAGGTGGAAGGAAGAACAGCTGTAACTACATTCTGTCCTTTTACCTTCTGCTGGGATTTGTCTGTGTCACTTCACAATACAGGGAGGATGTGTCAATTCTCTTGATCGTGTGTTTGAAATAAAAAACTGCCATCACATGGGATCAGTGGGCAAGCAAGCTACCTATTGCATACCTGGGTTAAAAGACATACTGTACCCACCCACCTTTGAATGTGCTCATGGAGTAAGCTCTTAAGAAGGTATTTAATAGGTAAAGAGAGATATTACTGCCCTTGTAACATAATAATTTCCATCAATATCAGCCTTTAGAAATGNATTTGTTTTAGTAATCAGAGAGAGCACATGGTAATCAGTGATTTTGACCCCTGGGCCTTTTGTTATCGTCTGTCTTTTGTCTCCTGAAATTATCTAGTTGTCATTAATATTATTTGTGTGATAGTGCATAGAAAAAAAATAACGGGATACCAAAACCAGAAGTAAAGCCTATCGATCTCTGGGCCTAGAGGAACTGGCTTTGGTGGCCATAACCTCTGCACTTCTGTTCTGGAGCACAATTTTGTTCACAGACCTTTCTAATGTCCTCACACTGGGAGAGGAGAAAGAACAGATTTGAAAACGTAGATGTCTTGAATAAAAATATCTTTTATTAACCAAAACATTTTTTTTAGCATGAAATATAGTTTACATTTCATATCTAGAATGTATGTATTGATAACTTATCTTTGTTACAGTACAGAATTAAGATCTTTTCTTATTTTTTTAGGATGTTGAAACATTTTACCCTACAGTGAAAATTTTCATTTCTCTTTAGGCAGAGAATTAAGGTTCACCATCCACCTTAGAAAGACTTTCATGTAATGCCATTTTTAATTACTGCTATTTGTTTACATCAGTTACTCTGTGTCTAGCTATAGGTAGTTCCATGAACTTGTGACTATACCTATTGAATTTGTTGGCAGAAAGTTTCATTTTGATTAGTCAACCAGAAAGAAGGATGTTGTTAAAGTTTGGAGGAAAAAGGAGTAGTAGACTTCAGGAGTCAGAAAGCCTGGCTTCAAATCCTTGACCTGTCACATCATTTCTTTAATTCATCAGGTACTTACCACATGCGTGCTGTGTAGTTGGTATTGTTCTAGGTGCTAGGAATGCAACAATATATACAATTGTCAAATTTATCCTCTACATTCTGTCCTTTTACCTTCTGCTGGGATTTGTCTGTGTCACTTCACAATACAGGGAGGATGTGTCAATTCTCTTGATCCTGTGTTTGAAATAAAAAACTGCCATCACATGGGATCAGTGGGCAAGCAAACTACCTATTGCATAGCTGGGTTAAAAGACATACTGTACCCACCCACCTTTGAATGTGCTCATGGAGTAAGCTCTTAAGAAGGTATTTAATAGGTAAAGAGAGATATTACTGCCCTTGTAACATAATAATTTCCATCAATATCAGCCTTTAGAAATGGGGCATTTAATTTGTTTTAGTAATCAGAGAGAGCACATGGTAATCAGTGATTTTGACCCCTGGGCCTTTTGTTATCGTCTGTCTTTTGTCTCCTGAAATTATCTAGTTGTCATTAATATTATTTGTGTGATAGTGCATAGAAAAAAAATAACGGGATACCAAAACCAGAAGTAAAGCCTATCGATCTCTGGGCCTAGAGGAACTGGCTTTGGTGGCCATAACCTCTGCACTTCTGTTCTGGAGCACAATTTTGTTCACAGACCTTTCTAATGTCCTCACACTGGGAGAGGAGAAAGAACAGATTTGAAAACGTAGATGTCTTGAATAAAAATATCTTTTATTAACCAAAACATTTTTTTTAGCATGAAATATAGTTTACATTTCATATCTAGAATGTATGTATTGATAACTTATCTTTGTTACAGTACAGAATTAAGATCTTTTCTTATTTTTTTAGGATGTTGAAACATTTTACCCTACAGTGAAAATTTTCATTTCTCTTTAGGCAGAGAATTAAGGTTCACCATCCACCTTAGAAAGACTTTCATGTAATGCCATTTTTAATTACTGCTATTTGTTTACATCAGTTACTCTGTGTCTAGCTATAGGTAGTTCCATGAACTTGTGACTATACCTATTGAATTTGTTGGCAGAAAGTTTCATTTTGATTAGTCAACCAGAAAGAAGGATGTTGTTAAAGTTTGGAGGAAAAAGGAGTAGTAGACTTCAGGAGTCAGAAAGCCTGGCTTCAAATCCTTGACCTGTCACATCGTTTCTTTAATTCATCAGGTACTTACCACATGCGTGCTGTGTAGTTGGTATTGTTCTAGGTGCTAGGACTGCAACAATATATACAATTGTCAAATTTATCCTCATAGTTATACTTGGAAAGAGACATCCTGTTTGAGTCTTCAGCCTCCTAGAGAATCTGGTGTGATGGATCCCTAGACCATGGGGAGATTGCATAGTTGGGAATTTCTCTGTAAGTCTCAGATGGA